CTCAGCAATATGTGTCTTAGCAAGCCCTCCATGTAATTGGATGCATATTCACATGTGGGAACTACTGCTCTTTTTTTTTTTTGTATATTCTTTAATTGGAGTTCGATTTGCCAACATATAACACCCAGTGCTCATCCCATCAAGTGCCCTCCTCAGTGCCCATCACCCAGTTACCCCATCCCCCACCCACCTCCCCTTCAGCAACCCTTTGTTTCCCAGAGTTAGGAGTATCTATCTCATAGTTTGTCACCTTCTCTAATTTTTCCCACTCGGTTCCCCTTTTTTCCCTTATGGTCACAATGCCAATTCCTCCCACTGTGTGTTGTTATAAAATAAGACAGGCTGCCTTGGATTTAGAGTTAGTCGATTCATTTAGTGGATTTATAATTCATACAATCATATTTTAATAACCTTCTTAATATGTTTTTACTTAGTGAGCATCGATTCCATTAAAATCTTAAAAAAAGAGGCCTGTTTCAAGGTCTTTTCTGATTCCATATAAATCTTAAGATTACTTATTCCAACGCTGTGAAGAAAGTCCATGGTATTTCAATAGGGATTGCACTGAATGTGTAAATTGTCCTGAGTAGCATAGACATTTTCACAATATTAATTCTGCCAATCCATGAGCATGGAATGTTCTTCCATCTCTTTGTTTCTTCCTCAATTTCTTTCATAAATGTTCTGTAGTTCCTTTACCGCTTTGGTTAGGTTTATTCCTAGGTATCTTATGCTTTTGGGTGCAATTGTAAATGGGATTGACTCCTTAATTTCTCTTTCTTCAGTCTCATTGTTAGTGTATAGGAATGCAGCTGATTTCTGTGCATTGATTTTGTATCCTGCCACATTGCTGAATTGCTGTATGAGTTCTAGCAGTCTGGGGGGGGAGTTTTTCGGGTTTTCTACGTACAGTATCACGTCATTTGTGAAGAGGGTGAGTTTGACTTCTTTTTTGCCAATTTGAATGCCTTTTATTTCTAAGACTTCTAAGACTTCTAGCCTCACAAAATGGTGAAAGTGGATATCCCTGTTGTGTTCCTTATCTTAGGGGAAAGACCCTCAGTTTTTCCACACTGAGAATGATATTCACTGAAGCACTCCAATATTTATTCCAACGGTAAATCTATGATTTTGTACAGATGCTATAAAATAATTTAAAGCCCCTATCTCCACAAGCGTGGTTCAGCAATACAACCACCTGAATGGCTTCTTGAACACACTGGATCTCATTCCTTCTTTCAATAAAATTTACTGGATGTATGAGTTTGCTAAGGCTGCTATAACAAAATGCCACAAGATTGTCCTTCTCTCTGCTGCCCGTTACCTAATCTCTTCTTATAGGACATATCATTTTGGATTAAGGCCCATTCTAATGACCTCATTTTGACTTAATTACTTCTTTTAGGCACCTTATTTCCAAATATGGTGACATGTTGAGGTACTAGAGATTAGGAACTCACAATATGCAGTTGAGGGAGATGGTACTCAGTCCCTGACACTGTCTTCTAGCCCCCCAAATTCACATCCACCCCACATGCAGAATACATTCACCCCATCCCAACCGCCCAAAAACGCATTCCAGCATCAACTCCAAGTCTAAAACTCTCATCTAAATCTCATCGAAATCAGGTATGTGAGACTAGAGGTATGATTCATCCTGAGGCAAAATTCCTCTCCTGGTGTGAACCGTGAAACCAGAGAAGTTATCTGCTTCCAAAGTACCATGGTCACACAGGCATAGACATTCCCATTACAAAAGGGAGAAATCTAAAAGTAGAAAGGGGTCTTGGGTTTCAAGCAAATCCAAAATCTAGCAGGGCAAATGCATTAGATTTTGTCTTGAGAATAATCTTTGGCTGATGCTCTATCATCCGGCCCTAAGATGGCGGCCCTGCCTCTGGGCCCCCTTAGCCATGGGCAGTAGCCCCACATCCTAGTCAAGGAGAAGGAAGCCTCAGTCCCCACAGACCTGTACCTACTGTGTCTGTGGTCGCAAAGGCAGCCCTGCCAATTTCCAAACTGCCTTCAGTCATTTTCCCTTTTGAAGGATAACATATGACAGCAGGACAGCTCTTCTGTAGAATCCTAGAAGTCTGACAGCCTTCCTTCATTTTGTCCTATCTCTGTCCCTTTCAGTTTAAACTGGCAACATTTTTGCTGGGATGACTGGCTGGATCGTCGGGCCACACTTGTAACCTCTTTAGCAAACGCTGTCCAGTCACACCCTTACTGTTCTCTCCAGAACATGCTTTCTCATTTTTTGCAATACGGATAGGCAGCAGTTAGAAAATTTGAGATCTTCCAAATCTTCAACCTCTGGTCCCTTCTTGCTTAACAATTCCTACTTCAATTTCTCTCTCTTTAGATTTTATTATAAGCAGCAAGGAGAAACCAGGCAGCATCTTTAACATTCTGCTTAGAAATCTCCTCCACTAAACATTCAAGTTCATTTTTGAATATCCTACCTTACAAAACAGTAGAACACAATTTGGCCAAGTTCCTCGCCACCGTATAACGAGTATTGCCTTAGTCCAGGGTCCAATGGCTGGTTCCTCATTTCTGATACCTCACTCCAGAAGCACCTTTAACAGCCCTATTTCTAGCAACATCTGTTTGTGGTAATAAATGTCTATCTCTAAGATGAAAGCTCTATTCTGAGTCCTCATCAGAATCACCTTTCACAACCATATTTCTACAACCCTCTCTTCAAGGTAATCTAAAGTTTTTCTAATATGTGCCTCAAAACTCTTGTAGCCTCTACCCATCACCCAGTTTCAATGCCACTTCCACATCTTTAGGTAATTATCACAGCAGCATCTTACTTGCCATTATCAAAATCTGAATCAGTCTACTAGGGCTGCCATAATAAAATACCACAGACTGGGGGCTTAAACAACATAAAGTTACTTTCTCACAGTTCTGGAGGCTGGAAGTCCAAGGTGGAGGTTCCAGCACCGTTGGTTTCTTCTGCAGCCTGTGTTCTCACATGGCTGTGCTTCCGCCTCTGCTGTCTGACTCAGCCATGCTGGATTAGGGCCCACCCTCACGACCCTGCTTTAAACTAGTTACCTCTTTAATGACCTTATCTCCAAATACAGATACATCTTGAGGCCCTGAGGCTTAAGCTTCAACACAACTGGGCTTGTCACACTGAGTGTCTGCTGCAGTGCTCAGCGGGGCACTGGGCTTCACACTGGCATACATATTCCCTTACAATACACAACAGTTTTCTCCAAGTATGCCTAAAAACACAACAGCATGAGGAAACAGATTTCTAGAGCTGTATCTTTCATTTCTCATTGTTAAAACTGACTTGCCCGAGGACACATCACATACATAGGTTCTCATGTTGGCTGCTCCTTTCCCACTCCTCTGCTCTAGGAGAGAAAGGCAGGCTGCTCACCCACCTGTACTGAGTGAGGCTCACCAACCTAAAATGAAAAACTGCATTGGGGGGAGGGGGAAACATCTGATTACCAAGTTTCTATTCTTTTTTATCTTCCTGTGAGCTGCCTTCTTCCCCTTTGAAGCCCTAGGCTCCTATCCCAAGCCTTAGTTCAGGATGGCATATAAGCCTCCCCCATCTGAGTGCCTTTGAGTTTCATATTTTTATGGGTCTTCCATACATTCACAATTAGTTTTTCTCTTGTTTATTTGTCTTACGTCAATTTGAATTATTAGACTAAGGAACCTAAAAGGGGGAAAAGGGAAAATTTTCCTCCCCAACATACATACATCCATCATGGACACAAGAAAGAGCAACCATGATGTCATTCCTGCGGCACATAACTGTGTCAAATGACATCAAGGAGCTGACAGGGTAACCCCCAATAAAGGAACACAAGTGAGCACTTCTTACCACGTTGCTCCCTCTGTGGTCTGAATGAGATTATTTTAGTAGCTGTTTTCACCTTGAAATATAATCAAGACTCTAATTTTTCTTACTATCAAAAACTTATTTACACTTGTCTTACTTTTTATAATAAAGAGCTATAGACACAGGAAGGAGTTTTATAGGGCTACAGTAGAAATAGGCTCTGCAACAAAAGACCTAAGAACACAAACAAGTGTGTTTCATGGGGTACCACAAAAATGGAGTGCCATTCAAATCAGTAACCAGAGACAAGGAGGGTCTTAGGCTGGTAAGGAACCCAGAACCCAGGAAGTTGAACAAACAGTATTAGAACATTTCAGCAAGAATAATGTCAGAAGTACCTAAAAACTGTAAGGAATTGTAAATAGTTTAATCCTGATTGTTTTCTAAAACAGCTCCTTTCTCCTCTGAGAGGCTCTAAGCCTAAACCTATTTCCTGTATTCCTAGACTCCAGAGATCCCAGACAATAGGCCTGAAAGTCTCCTGTTAACAATCCTCACCTAAGTATAAGGATTGAACCATCTCAGAGCTATGGGGGTGGACACCCCTTACCCCTGAAGCTTATGACACTTCCCCTAAGCTGGGGCTTGGAGACAAGCTGGGGGTGTACATGTAGCCCTAATGAAACACACGAGAGGCCCCAAGGACAGAATGCTTATTTGAAGCAACTGAACTTGCAAATTCTCCCTGAAACTAAACAGAAACATAATAGTTTAGCTCTTTTGCTTTTGCGGTATGCTGCTGCCCATAAAAGATGGGTGTGGGACATAAAAGATGGTGTGGGACAAGTCTGCAGTAAGATACAGAGCCAGAATAAAAACCATCACAGACTGGTGACAGCATTAATCTACACCTTTGTGATTAAAGGAATGTTTGCCTATAACATAGTTTCAGTAACCAGTTTCACAAAATCAAAAAGTGTAACCAGTACCTGTTCATGATCCACAATGAAGAGCAGAGCAAATTTTTGCATGTAATATTCCACAACTATGTCCTTGTTGTGCCCACTCACAAGAGACATTTAGGCAAATTCATTCCCTCTTTACCATACAGACCATGCAGAGGGGGATGTGGTTCCTTCCCAAGCGGTGCCCCACTCCCCCACCCCAACACACACACACTCACATGTCCTCCACCGTGATGTCTTTCAGGATCTGGCAGTAGTCCACATTCCACACAGCCTGGTCATCCCAAACCTTGGAGGCCAGCAGGATCGCCCCTAGAACAATCCGCTTCCAATTGGCTGGACAGATGTCTATCTCTGCATACGTCAAAAGTCTTTCAAGGTATACCTGGGAAGACATGAAAATGCCAGGGCTAAAGACTTGAGTTGTTTTGTCCTACATGCTAGCATACATAGATTCGAAAGCTGCTTGACTCCATTTTACCAGCCTTTAAACAGGGATTTATCATCTGATTATATCTATTTCTAAAAAGTCAAAGGGCTCAGCTAGTCACATGGAGAGTGGACACACTCTGTCCTTGAACAGTGTGGAGGTAGCTGGATTGTAAAAGGCTCTGAGGCAGGAACAAATTCCAGGCACCACAGGTTAATTTCTCACTCTATCAACTGCCATATCAATACAGACTCAACATACAACAATACAAATTTCAACAAATAGTGGTGTCAAAGGAACAAGCTTATTTTTTTTTCCTATCTGGTAAACCTTTTATTTTGAGGCAATTATAGATTTACATGCAGCCTTGATAAACCCTTTTTTTTTTAAAAAAAAAACACAGAAGAATGCCTGTTTTTTTTTTTTTACAGATTTATTTATTTATTCATGATAGTCACACACACACACAGAGAGAGAGAGAGAGAGAGAGAGAGGCAGAGACACAGGAGGAGGGAGAAGCAGGCTTCATGTTGGGAGCCCGATGCGGGACTCGATCCCGGGACTCTAGGATCGCGCCATGGGCCAAAGGCAGGTGCCAAACTGCTGGGCCACCCAGGGATCCCCCCTATTTTTTATTATTTTGGTAAAACATGTAAAAGACTTAGCAGTTAACCATTTTAAGTGCACTGTTGAAAAATCACCACCTGTATCTCTATCCCCAGAGCTTCCTTATCATCCTGAACTAAACTCTCTACCCACTAAACAATTCCCCATTCCCCTTCCCCCCAAGCCTTTGGCAACAACCATTCTACTTCGTCTCTATGCATGTGACTCTTCTAGGAATCATTCAATATTTGTCTTTTTGTTCTAGCTTTTTTTCACTTAGCATGTCCTCAAAGTTCATCCAAGATTGTAGCATCTGTCAAAGTTTCTTTCCTTTTTAAGGCTGAATGATAATCCATTACATACATATACCACATTTTGTTTATCCATCTTTCCATCGATGGATATTTGAGTTGTTTCCTCCTTTTGGTTATTATGAATAATGTTGCTGCCATGAACACTGATGTACAAATAACTGTTTGAGTTTCTGCTTTTAATTCTTTTGGGTATGCACCCAGAAGGAGAACTGCTGGATCATATGATAATTCTGTATAATTCTTTGAGGAACCACCATACTGTTTTTCCAAAGTACTTTGGTCACTTACACTTCCATTGGCAACACAAAGGGGTTCCAATTTTTTCATATTCTTGCCAATACCTGTTATTTTCTTTTCTGTTTTTTTTTTTTAATAATAGCCATCCTAATGGGTGTGAAGTAGATATCTCACTGTGGTTTTTATTGGATAAAGCATTTTTAAATGGAAATAATTTCAGCTGAAGGTGGAAAATGAGACCAAATAACATAGGATAATGCCAGAAGCAGACTAATAATTATATAACACAGAGGCCACAAGATGAGAACAGATAAATGAGAAGTGTTAAACACCTGAACTTAATCCATGAATTACTGTGTAAATACAGGGTACTCATTACATGTCAGGCACTGTGCCAGTCACCGGACTCACAGGAGGGCGGCACTCACTGCTCTGGCTGCACAGAGGAAAATGGCCTGGAAAGGAGCGCAAGTGATGGAAAGAGGAGACTCTGGAGCAGTCAGGCTAAGGAAGATTGGTTTCTAAACTGGGGACATGACAGGAGACACTCACAGTCCTATCAGCTTCACAGAGTCCAGCGATCTGAATAACTAAGAAGGTGGGCTGCTGTAGGAGTCTGGAGGCTTCCAGCTCGTGCCCTGGATAGGCAATGCTTCTGACACAGGGAGCATTGGTGGAGGGAAGAGGCTGGGAAGGACAGTCACAGGTGGATGCTTTATGCCTGAGACATCCTAGAGGATGCTACCCATGTGGGCAGGGTACACACCCTTGTGAAGCTCGGAAGAAAGCAGCACTGAGATAGAAATGAGTGTCTTCGGCGCATAAACAGGATTAGGTATGGATCCCATGACCTGGGGAAACAGTGTAGGGAGAGAGAAAAGAAGGGGTCAGGCCTGGAGCCTTAAGAGCCCCTCCTGTTTTAACATGTGGAGAGAGGGTAAAGGGGCAGCAAGGAGAGGGAGGAATAAAATCTGGTACGTTCTGCTCTTAAGATGTGCAGTACTCTGGAGAGGAAGCTACAAGGCAAACCAAGGTGTTTCTAAGTGCCTGAATTATGCTTACAGTAGCATACAGGGCATATAAGAAGGAAACTGAAGTAGTCTCTTTCACAGTAAAAAAATAAAGATGTGAAAACACTTCAGGCAGTGATTGTGTGGGTAGAGAGGGACAGGGAGGCCACAGGGGTGAGGTGCTTAGGAGGGAGAGAAAGGGGAAGGGGGAGAAAGGAAGAACGAGGAGGGAGGAAAAAGAGAGGAAGGGAGGGAATGAGGAAGAAATGATCCTCAATGGAAGCAAAACTCGAGGTCCATTAGAAAAGTCAGACCAGGGCAGCCCGGGTGGCTTGGCAGTTTAGCGCCACCTTTGGCCCAGGGCTGATCCCGAAGACCCAGGATCAAGTCCCACATTGGGCTCCCTGCATGGAGCCTGCTTCTCCCTCTGCCTGTGTCTCTGCCTCTTTCTCTCTCTGTGTCTTTCATGAATAAATTTTTAAAATCTTAAAAAAAAAAGAGAGAGAGAGAAAGAAAAAGACCAGAAGCGCCCACGTGGCTGTCACTTAAGCATCTAACTCATGGTTTCAGTTCAGGTTATGACCTCAGAGTTGTGAGATCAAGTCCCACATCCGGATCTGCGCTCAGCACAGGGTCTGCTTGAGATCCTCTCCCCCTCCCTTTTTTAAATTATTAAAAAAGAAAAAGAAAAAAGAAAAGTCAGATCATCAGCTAGCAGCTCCTTCCTAGAGCCTTCCATGGTTCTCTTGATCTCTAAATCACAAGCAGAGGAGAGTTACTCCCTCCAAAGCAGCAGAGGCTCCCTTAGGGCTTCTTTTGCCAGTCTGTACCAGCCAACTGTGTGTAAACAGGTGGATGATAAACACCCAGGGAAGTTTGAAGAGAAGGCTCAGATTTTTGTCTGCTTCTCCCACTGAAATAGGGGCTTTTCCAAGATGAGGAGAGAGGGTGGTTGGCACTCAAATGTTTTCTGAGTAAACAGATGAATAACAATTCTTTTGCTTAGAAAGTGCTTTTAGTGCTTTATTAATGAAAAAGCAATTTTTTAACTCTTAAAAGCCTAGATTCTTATGGCTAATCTCAGATACCAGCTCTTCCTCAGAATGCATCAGGGGTACTACACTAAAAGGCAAAATCATGAGAAGAAATTACTAACATATTTCAAATTCCAAAGACAAAATAGCCAACAAGTCTAGTCCTACATATACTGGAAGTAATGAAACAGGATACCAGTACAGGGCAAGTCTACTTGATGTATGTACCCCCATATTAGTTTGCGTGACCCTTCCACATACCCCCTTGCTGTGCTTTTCTCAGTATAATATATGTAGCTGCCTCATCAGTCTCTCCACCTAGTGAACCATTAAGTTCCCTGAGGACAAAGACCCATTTCATTCCCACTTGTGTGCCCAGCATTTAGCACAATGCTAAGAAAGGGTGGGACCTCAGACTGCTTCAGTAATGGACACATCATCTTGCAGAACAAATACGCAGCAGCATCTACCTAAGAGCTCTGGCTCTGAAATACAGCAACAGGAGGGTACATGTTAGTGTTAAGGGATTTAGGTAAGAAAATGACCACAAATAATGGTATTTAGGAAAAGGAAGTACGTTTATGAAGGCAGAATGGATTTAAAGGTGAAACTGAGTCCTTGGTTCATGAGACACGTGTAGTGGTAAATGATGAAGTTCAGAGGAGGACAGAGTCCACTCTGCTGTGCCAACTGCAAAAAGTCAAAAAGATCTTCAAATAAGCCACAGGACGTCACACAGCATGGCATTCTAACTGCATCATATGGACCTTTGTGGGAATTTCCAAATCTCTCTCACTGAAGAGTAACATAACAGCATTTGGTTGTGGTAAAAAAAAAAAAAAAAGTAGGTCACGGACTAGAGCTCAGTGATCTTTTCAGTTTTTGAAGATCTTAGTTTTTAATGGCATTTATTATACTAAATGAGCAAAAAGAATGAGCTAATGTTTTAGATCATGACTTTCATCTGTGTGAAAATTGTAATTCTTCAGGTATAGATCCAAGCTAGGTCAAATGGAATTTCAGGTAGACTCCATCCTTGGGACCCCAGATTGTGCATTTTACAAAGGTTGACAACTAACTCTTCTTGTTCTTCATCAAGAAGAGGCATACCTGAGGTAAGCACAGCATTAATATAAACTTGTCAAATCACTATGTTGCACACATAAAACAAATGTAACACTGTGTCAACTATACTAAAAAAAAATAAAATAAAAATAAAAAATGAATCACAAAATATATAATAAACTGAACTAAGAGCAGAAAACTAAGATTGGACCTAACTAAGCCTCCAGATTTTTAAAGCATGAGACAAAGGACAAACAGTGTATGTTCTCATTCATTTGGGGAATATGAATAATAGTGAAAGGGAATAGAAGGGAAGGGAGAAGAAATGTGTGGGAAATATCAGAAAGGGAGACAAAACATAAAGACTTCTAACTCTGGGAAATCAACTAGGGGTGGTGGAGGGGGAGGAGGGCGGGGGGTGGGGGTGAATGGGTGACGGGCACTGAGGGGGACACTTGACGGGATGAGCACTGGGTGTTATTCTGTATGTTGGTAAATTGAACACCAATAAAAATTATTTTATTAAAAAAAAAACACAAAGGAGATTGTGAAACAATGTTTACCTGACGACTTCCTTTATACTGATAAGGTATGCAAATCTCTCCAAGCTCCCCAATGAAACAGATTCTCACTGGCTCAGTGCAAACGGGTGGCCACTCAATTTTCTTCTTTCTTACTTTATACCATAG